CTTTCCGTCACGCACACACACACACACACACACACACACTCTCTCTCTCTCTCTCTCTCTCTCTCTCTCTCTCCACCAAAAGATGAGTGACGCCAACGGGCCTCAAGTCCTCTACAGCTCCGAGCCGGAAACGGTCAAGCATGACAGCGACTACCCCCAGCTCCACGCAACGACACCACAGCAGGGCCAGGGGTGGCAGGAGCGGCCTCGCACCTTGGAGACGAGCCATGCGGCGACCTCCCCACCGCTGCTACCGCCACAGCACCAGCGGCACGAGAAGCGCACCGGCCGGCTGCTCCTCGCCGCCGGCTGCCTCCTGCTGGGCATCATCATCGGCGGCGCAGTCGTCGGCGGCGCCCTGGGCTCCGTGCTGGCGGGCCGGCCGCCTGCCGGCGCGGGCGGGACGGCTACGCCAGCCGAATGCAAGACGGGCGACCCGGGGCGTGTCGGGGGCACGACCACGTCGCCGACCCCAGGCCCGAGCGGTGCGTCATCGGCTCCGCGGACAGCGGCCACGCTCACCAACTACGAGGCCGCCAACTGGCGCAACATCAGCACGCTCGCGTTCCCGTGCCCCCGGGAGCAAGGGCAGACGGTCATCGGCGTGGACGGGACCCGGTTCCGGGTCGAGTGCGGGGTCGACTCGGTAGGGCTCGGGCGTGAGGCTCCGGGTTCCTTCATGGAGGACCTGCAGTCAGTCATAGCATACAGCTTCGAGGACTGCGTCCAGGCGTGCTCGAGCCTCAACAGGGAGGGGGCCAGGGTCCGGCGGGGGCTGCAGAACCCGCCCGTGTTCTGCCGGACCGTGGTGTGGCGCAGCAGGATGGACGAGCCCAGCTTTTTCGACAAGGGCGGCAACTGCTTCTTGAAGAACGCCACGCGCGCCGCCGGCGAGACCGGGGTGGCTTGCCAGCCGTGTATGTCGGGCACCCTGCTTTGAGGCTGTGTGTGCGTGTCGCGGTTGGTTTTTGGAGGGCTGGCTAGACGTCGTTAATCATATTCGCTCGTCCATATACAAAGATCCAGTACAGAGGATTCCCGGCCGGCTGGGTGGGTAGCTCGCCCACTTGGGGTTTGATGCTTGCTCATCCCTGTAATGATCAGGGGATTCGCCGCAGCGAACCCCACCGCCGCTGTCCACCGCCGCCACGGCCGACATAGTCGTCGGCGGCGTCTTGGTCCTGCCCGCCCTCCTCGGCGCCAAAGAACACGCTGGACCGCACGAGCTGCTGCAACCTGTTGTGCAGGAGCTGCCGGGCCACCCCGGGCCGGGCGTCGTAGCCGAGCTGGACTCTCGGGAGAAGACGGGTGGTCAAGGCCACGTGGACGTGTCTGAGCGGCTCGCGGGAGGAGGTCAAGGGCGGTGATGTCCAAAGGACAGTCCACTGCGTAAGACCGTATATGAAGCTAGGCGTGGATAATCAGGGGAAATGCTGGGGAGGATGGTCTTTTTCGGGTGGAAAGTATCGAGCCCTTGATGGGCGGTAGAAGAGCATAAAAATGGACCAAAAAAGGTATACTGGGCGAAACCGTGACCTTCCCGAACACGTGCAATCATAACACGCGCTGGCAATATCCGCTTACATCCTGTGATGTCCCTTTGATGTGCCAGTACGCCATTCACCAAGAGACTCAAGGAAAAGAGGCTTTTCGCGTCCAGCAGCACGCGCCGACACCTGGCGAAGTCAGCGGGCGTATCCAAGGATCGTGGCGCGGTGAGCTATCCCACTTCACTCAGCGGGGGAGCTGTTGGCTCCTCCTGAACGACCGTTGAGCAAGCCAGGTATAATTTTGACATTCACAGAGGCAAAACCACAAGCTGCCGGAGACCGAGACCGAGCATAACGAAATACTCACATGACACTTGCGAGTTAGGTGGGTAGGTAGAAACTACATCACCTCCCGAGACGACTGGACCTCGCACATGGGATTTAGGTGACGCGGTCATGATTGATGCTATTATGTGGGGTTTTCTCCTAGGGCATACCTCTATCATGACGACCAACTATGGGCGTGACGCTAGGGGGATGGCGAAGAGAAGAGGGATGGAGCCCGCGGCTGGTGTTCATGCATAGTCCCATTTTCCAAGTACGGTAGCAATATTGGCGCTGGCCCTTCGGCAGCTTCCTCAGAGGGCATCGGGGCCGTCTAGATGCTCCTAGTCTTCCCAGACGGGGAGGTCGAGATCCACGACGATGGGCTTGTTGAGCTTTTTGCCACCCACGTGAGGATAGCTGTTCGCCATGATGGCGCAGTTGACGATGCAAGTTTCTCGCCGACCCATCCTGCCGAGAAGCGCCTCCCTGTCGCACCTGACAGACTCCTCCGGGTCACCGCCCATACCATAAGTGCCTCTTGCGGGATCGGCATCATGGCATGTCTGCGTATCGTCAAGCGGGTTGACCCCGTCTTGGGTCTCTCCGCGGGTGCTGACGAACGCCCACTCTCTTTCGCCGCTCTCATCGGAGTACCATCGGAGCACCGGTCCGATCCCGCCATCGTTGTCGAGTGGTTCTCGCCCGGTGCGCGCGTCGCCCGTCAAGTTTACGAGCGAGATCTTAGCCCCTCCGCTGGGAGCTGGGTCTTCCCACAGCTGGTGAGCACCATGAACCTCCATGAACCTGCCGTTCACGGACCCTGGTCCGCCATCAATATCCCAGCGCACAATTTCGGCACCCCTGCCTTCGTGTACGTGGCCGCACACGGCGAGGCGTGGGCGTATGCGCCACAGGGCACGGCGCAAGGCCTCGCAGCCCGCCGAGCGCCGGCGGTCCGCTGCCTCGTCGCAGTGGCCGCGCGGTGGGCCGTGAGTTATCACCACATCCGCACACAGAGGAATATCGTTCCAGAGCTCTTCCGCACTGGGCCCGGCGAGATTTGACTCCATAGGTCGATCGCTACGTTCCCTTCTAGGCTTCGATGTGCTGTCCGGGATCTGCCGCTGCTCTGCCGGCGCAGCCTGAGCAGCGAGCGAAGACGACCCTGGCTCACAATGCTGTTTGGAAGCAGACTCTGAGCTGAAGCGACGACCTTTTCCACGCGATCGAGACCGAGACCTAGCCTTCGGCTTTTGAGCTTCGTCTGGGCCCGGAGGAGATAGGGGTGGAGAGGCTAAACTTGGATAGCCAAAAGCCCAGAGCCCATCCCGAGGACTGTACGGAGACCCAAATACGGTGAACTCTGTGTGCGGGCCTGTGGGTTTGGTGAGTCGCAGCTTGATGGCGCTGTGTTTGAGGTACGATATGGACGGACTCGACTCCAACAAGTCAAGGCACTCGGAGGACGACTCGGGGCGCTGGTTATGAAAGTAGATTCCGTACTCCTTGTAGAATTCAGCGTCAAGGGTGATGTCGTGATTCCCTATGTCGTGGTAGCCAAGTCAGGACATAGGCACACACTAGGAGTATAAATGCTTGCTCTCCACGTACCCGCGACCACAATCTTAGCCTCGAAATTTGCCTTTTCGAGCCATTGGATGGTTTTGAGCAGCTACATGCAGACCCGTCAGCCCTCACTGCGCATACGGAGGAGGTTTTCCAGCCCACTGTTCTATGGGGTCGGGGTCATAAAGTGACGTGTATGAGACGAACCTCTTTCGAGGTTCCCTGGTTCGTCAAGTCACCGGCGTGAATCAGAACATCGCCCTTGGGCAGATGGACAGTGCGGTTGTGGGTGTCCGAAATGCAGACGAATCGGGTCCGCCGTAGTCTCGGCGACTTCGCCGTGTCCTTCGCTCCGTCTCCTGAGCGCTTGGCATCGGTACCATCCATGGCTGTGGCGTGTATGGGGGCCTTGTTGGACCGCGGCGGGCTGCGGGGCCAGGTGTATAGAATTCAAAGAGGGTATCAAGTGTTTTTGTGGACAGGGATAAACAGGCAGTTCGTGAGCCTCTAATGATCAAATCTCGATTTAGACTACAGAATACTCGTCTTGCATGGCAGAGCCTAGGGTCTAGAGGCAGCTGGATGACCACAAGTCGTCGAGCTGAGGTTGGAAAAGTCTGTAGACAATCAGGCCCTTGTTCTGACCTTCCCAATGAGGTAGGCGGGCGTTGAGGCAACAAGAACAACCAACCGACGCCAACCCGCACGGGCCAACCATGATCACCTCATCACTCGCCCTAGAGTCGGGCAGAAGCTTCCAAATCGATGCTGCACCGAAACCTGAGCCAGCTAGCGTGCCAGGCAAACCCCACGCCAACGCCTCACTTCGGGCCATGCCGGCGGTGAGTCAAAAAGCAAGGGATTCCATGCCAGTTGTCTTTGCCCGGGAGGAGAGCAAAAGATGTCGCAGATATAGGTCTGTAGCAGGCATTGTAAGCCAAAACTTCCTCCAAGGAAGGACTGTGGCTCCTTTCCGACGGAAGTAGCCCCCATCAGCAGGCAGAATTTAGCACGTTAGCTGCACCTCCGAAATGAGGTGCGAAGAGAGCAAACAAATCGTCGATCCCATCCCACAGGTGTGGATGCTTTCGAGGTAGTGGGGACCACGAATACAAATCGCACTGTGGGCCGTTGCTTCCAGCACAAGCAGAAGATGCAACGTCAGAATTCAAGAGCCAGTTTCGGCTTCCATCGCAGCACAAAACGGATGGGCAGCAGCTGAACTAATGAGGCCGCCACGCATCACTGGATTACTAGCCCCAATCATCACCTTCCAAGCTGTAGCATCCCGCAGGCGGGGCCTCGTGCAACAGCAATCACTGGCTTGGAGCCCTGCCAGGGCCTCCGCCTCCCTGTTTTCGTCGGCTGGTCCGTCGCGGCCCCCTTTTTTCCGGGAGCTGGCGGACGTGACCGTTTGGCCATTCACCGCGCATGCCCCGCTCCCCCCTTTTCGGCTCCCCTCGTGCTCGTCTCTCGATGGCGCACATCTCGGCTGCACTGATGAGTGGATTGGACATTATTGAGGTGCTGTATCTTCACCACCAGCAAGACACAACACAGCACAGCAATGCTTCATCACGATCCCAGGGAGCCCAACTGTGGCCTCTCCGGCAGCTGGCAGCAGCAGCACAACCTGCTGGACACCATCTGCGCAGTGCCGTCCTTGCCCCTGAGGCTACGACTGCCAGCCGGGTGGTGTGGCTCGTCAATGGATGGCTCAGCGCCCGTTCCTTGCCTTGTTTGTTGACGTGGGCTCGCTGAAGCTTGTGCTCGCCTGCAGCGCACACTGTGGGGCGGGCGGGATTGCAAGCCGCCGCACAGGCAGGCTGCCCCCTTCATGCGTCGGCCTCACTCCGCTGCCGGGATTGCTCGTAATAGCGGCCAACTCCACCGCTAATCTTCCGAAAAGCGATTGAGAACTGCGACCAAGTCATTGTCTTCTTGACGTGGCATGTGCACACGCCCGCGCTCCAGGATGTCTGGCTATGTCGTCCACTCGATGCCCATGTCCACATTCGCCATGGCGGAGCGCAGAGCGTCAAAGTTGTGACGTCGCCTGCACCGTTTGTGCACGGCTCGATTAATCACGGCGCAGGTCTGGTGCACCGGCCGTGCACCAACCCACATGGATGGGACTGTACTAGGCTAGCCGAAAATGAAAAGCAACGCGATTGGAGGTGTGCGAGCAACAGATAAATCACAGGCCACAGGCCGCCCGCCCGCACGAACGCGAATGGCTCACAACGCTCGCTAACATTTTGCCCCCTGTAGCGCCCCAACCCCCGTGCCCCCTCAGGGAGCGAGCTAGCGCCGCAGCCAATTTGGCTGGGTCGGAATTGGTGGGTCCACCCCCGTCCTTGCGGCGACTCTTCCAGCTCCGGGTTTGGTTTCCGCGATCCATAGGCTCCATAACTGTTGGCTCGCTGGAGCGCTGGAGAAAGAAGGCGAGGAAGTCCTGACAACAAACGGCCCAGCCACACCAACCTTCTCCCTGATCGGACGGGCCCTGGATCGCGACAGCTCACAGCGCGACACGAACCAGACGACGACAGCAGCCGGAACCGTCGCCCCAGCCCATCGTGCCAGCCCGTCTAAGAGACGGCCACCGAGCGAGCTGATGACGGTCGGTCCCTGACGACTGCCTCCTGTTGACTTGTCGCTCGTCGAAGCTTTCCCTTGTTCCGCTAGATCCTCAGCCCAGGCACTACCACCAACCAGACCACGCACGCACGCAGCAGCAGCTCGGGAAAGTCAGCGACGCCAGTTTGCTTGGAGTCGCGCCTCCTAGAAATTCCCGCCACCGGCATCTGGAAACCGCAGCCTGCGTGCGGGTTATACTTTGCGTGGCAGCCAGAACCAGCTAATCTTGGCCGCCTGGTGCGATATCCACCCAAGTTTAATTTCTCATCCTCAGCCATCACACGCCAACCACACCAAAAACCGTCAACGTGCGAGAGCCACCGCCATTGGGGGCAGAGAGCCTACGGCACCTCGGCAAACAAACAACAGGCAAGACCAAAGCAACAGAAGGTAGAGACAGAGAAGTCGCGACTTGGCCTCACTGCCTTCAGACCCGTGCGTACGAGCCGGCTAGGCCCCAACACCATCGACGTGTCGTCGTCGCACCTACGACGCCTCTTCACGAGGGCACCATGACGGCCATGTCGGCCGTCCCGACCGCGGCTTCCGGCCTCACTCCACCGAGCAGCTCCCATGGCAGCGGCAGCAGCAACCTGAACGGCAGCGGCTACGCGTGGAACGGCAACTACTCCACGGCCGAAAATGACGAGGTGAGTGGAGCCGACCACGAGACACGACCCTTCCCGTCGCGCTGCCGCGTTGGCATCGGCCCGTCGTACATTCCAACACTCGTTCTAGAGCGCCCATCCCGCTGTGGCTTCTCCTGCCACTGCTGTCACCCTCGTTGCGCTCTTGCAGAACTGGCTGCACCCACGTGCCGCTGCCGTTGAGCAGGTTTCATGGAATCTTTCAATGACAGTGGATAAAAGAGATACTGACACGCGTTGCGTCCACTCCGTCGCGCCTTCTGCACTCTCCAGGACCCAATGCATTACAAAAAGACAGCCCACAGCTATGACGCGACAAACGGCCACCAGAGGTCACCGCTGATTTCCCAGAACGGATATTCGCCTTCAGATTCGCCCGTCGCCCCGACGCCGAAAGATAGCGAATCTAACCTTACGGGCATGGCCGCAGCTGCCAACATTTCACCCACACTCGGCTCCGGCAACGCCAAGCCCTCTTCGACGAGGGACAGCGCCACTGGCTCCTCGGACAGCCTGCCAGAAGCACACGGGGGCAGCAGAGGGACTAAGCGTGTGATGAGAGACGGTAGTCCCGCTGGGAGCGCGGGAATCTTGCCAGACGACTCCAAATGGATCCATCGGGACAAGCTGGCTCGAATAGAAAACGAGGAGCTGCAGGCCGCCGGCATCTTTCTCCCCGCACCACGCTCGCACAGCCGGCCACGACACGCCACACAAGAACGACCGAGCGACTCTAGGAAGACGTCAGACGCCGACCTTCACACCAGGTCGCGCAAGAACTCGTCGGCTGTCACTGGCTCGACGTTGGCGGCGAGCTCCGGAGATCCCAGGCTTCAGACAGGCACAGGCAACTGGGACTTCAGGTTACCCGAAGAGATTGCCGAGGCCGAGGAGGCGAATTATTGGACGTCCGTGAACGGCATGAAGGGCTCGTCGCGAATCCCAGTGGCCAAAGTGAGCCCCGCGCCCATACCATCCGATGTCCTGGAACGCGATACCCCCGCGAGACGAAGGCGGGATAGCAGCCCTAACGACGAAGCCGTGGATATCAAGATGCCTAGGACGCGAGCGAGGAGCAGTAGTGCCAGTACCAAGCTCGAGGTTGCAGCCAACGCCGCCGCCGCCAGCACTCCCCAACCGAAGCGCGCCGTCACCGACTCCTCACCGAAGAAGGCAGCAACCGATTCGTCGCCGAAGAAGACCGTCAGCGTCAGGAAAGGGTCTGGGAAATCCGGGGGCACCGGGCGACAAAAGACGCGCGGCGCACCGAGCAAGGATTCTACCAGCAGCGCGTCTGGCACCACGCGGCCGTCTACTAGATCGGGCGAGCGTGAGCTCGGGGCGACTTCTCCCAACGCCCGCGCCCCCGAGGGCGACCCGCCATGGATGGTCTCGGCCTACAAGCCGGACCCGAGGCTGCCTCCGGATCAACAGCTTCTCCCCACCGTCGCCAAGAGACTGCAGCAAGAAAAGTGGGAGCGCGAGGGCAAGTTTGGAAGCATTTACGACAGGGAGTTTAGGCCGCTCACAGATGACGGATTCCTCTCGCCGCCCGAGCCTAAGGACAAGCTCAGCCCCCAGCCAAACGAGAAGCAGGAGAAGATGGAGGACTGGCCCCTGAAGGCCGAGCCCAAGAGCCCTACGGCGCCCTCTCTTCGCCAGCAGCGCACGGGATCCTATTCCACCATACCCAAGGTCCAGGACCCTCCCCAAAGCCCGCTCCCGCCATCGAGGGGCAACGGGGCGCCCGGGCAGCCGTCTCCTTTGATACGCCTTCCGGACATGCCAGACAACGATGCGAGCCAGGAAAAGAAGGGTTGCATGTGCTGCATCGTCATGTGATGGTCTTACGCTGCCTCTGTTTGCCAAGGCGTCGCCATCCTCGAAATTCCCCACCGCGTCGCCAACCCGATTTGACGGCAGCTCTGTTTGCCGCCAATATGCTGGATTTCAGTACATAGATTGTCCCTACACTTCTCTCGACGACCTTCACGGGCGAGAAGGGCCTCGAAGCCCCTGGCACGATACCCATCCCCGTCTCAAACGAACACCTCAAAATATTCGGAATGGTCTTCTGCCCGTCACCCATCTGTCCGTTTGACCACTAGTTGCCCATCCATGCCCTTCCTCCCCACAGGCAAACTCACATCCCTATACTACCGCCCACCCCGCAAAGGTTCTTCTCGGCCCATACGACTTTACGATTCTCCTCTTCTTTACTTACACCTGTTCGCCCGAAGCTCGTATCGCAGACCTCAACGCTGGTGTAATTATTAACTGCCACATACATTCCACAAACTCCTCCCACAAAGCCATGGACGGCACTCTATTTCTTTGATTCTTGCTTTTTTCTGTCTTTCCGCCTCACCCACTAGTTGGTCTTTGGCACCTTGCACCCATCTTAGCGTGCTTTCCCCCGATCCCATTCCTGGAGTTGTTTCTCTTCGCTTGCAGCCCCCTGCGGGATGACGCGTCTCTTCTGGAGTTCAAAAGGAGTTTAGTCGGTCGTAAAGTGGGGGGCCTGCGAAGCTCTGCCCGTGTTCCCACTCGAGCCTCACTGGCACCCCCAATATCCTTCGGGCTCTCACAAAAGCCCGTTCTGTTCATGTTTTCTTTGTCCAGTTACATACCGCTATTATACTACCTATCTATCTTGGACCCCGTGCATACTTTTTTTCTGGCCCTCTTTTCCCCCTCTTTTGCATGGCCAGGTTTGATTGCAACGGGTTCTTTTCCCGCCCTCGGCAAGCAGCTACCCGCCCAATTTCCGATCCAGCCAGCTCTGTCCATGACGTTGGCACCCCCTTGTCTTGCTTGTTGTTTTGCTTGGCTTCGACGTGGCCAGCCGGGCCGTCTGCACAGTATTAACTATTTTTGGCTGGGATCCTCAGCTATATCTCGCGACGGATAATCTCTCGAGACAATACATTCTTGGCTGTCTTGATTCACGGGAAGGAGCAAGACCGACATACAGAAACCGCTTTATCTTTTCTCACATTCCATTCTTGCTTTTCTGTCCTTTTCCTCCTCGCTCGTGACATGCATGGAGACAAATGACGTGCCGTATAGGGGCTTCACGTCCACACGCCAGAGTGGACATTAGTCTTCGCCCCCGTCATGGGGCGGCGCCGCGCTCTTGTCTGGGAAGGTCGTCGAAACCAGCCGCCTCAACATGTAGCCGCGCCTCCTATCAACCGTGTTATCTCCTGCCTAGATGCGCTCAGAATGTAAAAACAGCAACATGATGATCACCCGACGTTGCTGGTTTTCTCGACTCGATTTACAAATGCGCCCGCGTGTAGGGTCCCGCTCAGCTTCGTCTCAAGGTGTCATCAACTTCGTCTCAGGGTGTCATCAGCCTCTTTGCGGTTGCACGTATGGACGACAGCATCCCGGCCGGAAGTGGCGCCAGACAGATGTCTAGAACCGGAACCGATCACGTTGACAGTTGACTCGGCCTGGTGGTGACGGTTTCAAACGTCCGAAAACGGACGGGCTCCCAAAACCACTTGCGAGTCTGGGCCCCTTTGTCGGGATCATTAAATCTTCCCCACGGGAGTATCCTGGTCAGCATCGCTTCGTCCAAACAGGCGAGAAGGATGACCGGGCCTTGACAGGGCTGACGACTTGCCTTGAAGTACGTAATCGGACTGAGCAAGGTTTCGCGGAAAGTCTATTCTGTTTTGCTTCTTCAAACACAAATAAGTCGCTGGGTGATGGCACCAGGCGAGATGATTGGTCGAGTAGACTGTCAGGCTCCTCGTCGTTCTGGAGGAGGACTGCGCTAGGCACTGACATCGAAGCTTTTTGTCGGACCCAGGTCATGGAAACCCATGCTGGAGTTGCAAAGGTTGCCAGCCCATCCAACTAACTGCGGAATAACCCGTGTGAGGCACTTGATCACAGGCAAAAAGAGCTTCCGATATCTCGCACCGGTGACGGGACCTCTGTCATCGGGGGACTCGCCCGCATCTGCGCGGCCAACTCATCGAGTCCAGACGCTTTCCACTTGCACGCTCTACCACACGAGCGCTGGACTGTCACGTCGACTCGCTTCGCATCATTGCTTCTGTGACTCGGCCAGCCGCCGAGCTGAAAAAGCGGCGCTATTCTATTGCTGTAGGGTGACTAGTTACCGGTACCAAAGCCAAACCGCCGCCTGCCCTCGCGCCGTAGCCCGCGTCGAGTGGCAGGCTTCCCAGCCAACCAGAAGTCGCTCGCGGACGCCGTGCCCTCCTTGGGGCGTAAGATGTGTAAACTAGACATTCCTCCTCCAAAAAAAAAACCCCTGAAATACGCCGGTGGCAAAAGCTTGTCCCTAGGCCAGCGTCGCCCAAGTCACCTCACTTCAAGTAGAGGCACAGCCCTGGCCCGGCCGGTTCTCGTATGCCTCCCAGCCCGCCTTTTCGGTGCGCTTCCGCCGCGGCCGCCTGTGGCCTCGGGAGCATCGATTCCACCACGGCCGGCGAGGATGGAGCCGAACATGGAGCCCGGGTGCCTCCTGGCCAGGCCGGCGCAGCGCGCGGTGTAGGCGCTCCATCGCCAGGCTGCCCTCGGGCGTCATCTCGGCGAGGACTAAAAAAAAAAAAAAAACGCGTGCTCGCCGCGGTAGGTGAAGTGTGGGGCGGTGACTGTCGGCGGCAGCGCTTCGACGATGCCACTCGGGAGATGCGCAGGAGGCCCTTCGTGGTTACTACTTTTTAGGCCGTTGTTTCCGATGTCCACGGGTCTGCCGTCTTGGAATATGAGGAAGTCGTGCTTTTCAGAGAGGGCCTTGAGGCTGCGTCCCGTGTTCTTGTTGAGGTTGCGGACGACGTCGACGTGGGGTTTGAAGATTGTGATCAGGGGGCCGAGGTCTGCGCAGTGGTAGACATGTTAGCCCTGGCAAGGTGCAAAAAGAGAACAAGTCAGAGGCCGCTGCCCCGTATGGAAGTTACCGTCTGCGCATTTGAGGAGGCTCTTGCTGTCCGTAAAGTCGGCCGATAGGTATCACCAAGTTGATCTTCTTGAGCGCGGTGATGCTCAAGAGACACTTTGCGTATGAACTCTTGCTGAGCTCGCCTCGTCACGATTTGGCTTTAATCCGTTGGGCCCCCCTGAGGCTTCGTGTGTGGTTTTCGTACTGATTCTCGGTGACAGGTCGGTCGCCTTGAAACTGGTGCTGCGCCTCCGCAGCCCGGAAGAGCCCCCAGTTTGCCTCGGCTGCGAATCGATATTCATGCGGCAGGCGCCACCTGGGAACTGGAGAATTCTATGCTGCGTTGCCGTATGCAAAAGCGATAAGATATTGCGCATAAACGGTGTCGCGAACGGTGCGAGTTTTGCCGGGTCACCAGACAAGCACTCCCTCACCTCGGCAGGGTCAACAGGATTCCGTCGAGTCCCCTGATTTGATCTGCCTTGTATCAACTTTTAGCATGCAAGGGAGGAGATATCAGAGAGGTTTAAAGAGAAGAATAGTTTGGTGATAATTTCCTGCGGCGACAGCCCTCCTGTTGTTCATGCTAGGCTGACCACATGATCAGCCAACGTATTTCTTGAAGCAGACCTGGAAGATATCCAAGAGAACCGGGAATTCCGGACCGCGGGTGCGAGACTTGGTTCTTTTTCTAGAGCGTCTTGGCAATGCCGGCAACAGCAGTAACAACAGCTACGGTGCCCAAGGAGACCCCGTGGACGGAGGCCATTCACAATACGCGCACGAATCCCTTAAGCCCCAAGAGCCCTGCTTCTGGGAGGCGCACTGAAGGCTGGCTGGCTGGCTTTTTCCGCTTTAGATGATGACCTGACCATCAGTAGGCAAAAGTACCAAACGGGACCCAAAGTTGGTGGCTGCGGTCTCTTGGCACCCTTTTTATGGTCCTCAGCCTCGTTCACCCCCAACTCCCACACATTCGACATGGAAAGCCGGTCAAGCGCCACCAGCCCCCTTTCCGGAGCCGTGAGGTGGGCACCCCAGTACACCCCCTCGCTTCGAGATAACATGTAGAAAAACTGCCAGGCCTCCAGTGGGGGGCCCGTCTCCGGGATATACACAGTAATAGCAGCCACCGCATGTGCTTCCGATGTTCGGAAGAAGCCCGAGGCTGGGTCCCGCTTGCTGACCGGCAGACAAGTGACTAACAGCATGCATGCAGTGCCGGGATAGCTGTCAGACAGAGCCCGGTTCTCTTCCAGCCGTCCGCGGCTTCCCACCCAACCACGACGAATGCGAGGCCTGCAGCTATACGATACATAAATTTCTGTGCTATACGCTCCCCGGTCCCACGGAGGGCGGTGTCGGCGAATGCAACGTTCCCACATTGGATCAGGCGGGCGCGCTGTTGTGGGGGAGGGCAAGACGATTTCCATAACCCTCACATCTGCGCGCCAGCTCCGGGGATATGCCCTGCCTCCAGAAGACCCTCTGTCATCTCCAATGGAGGAGCCTCGACATTTCTTCGCCTGCAAGGTTCAGCCCTGCGGCGGGCTTGCCAAAAGCGGTGGAAGGCGGCCAGCCAGACTTGCCGCACCTAGCAGTTTTTCTGCCAGGGAGACGGCTGCTTGGCCCCGCGTTCCTTTTTTTCTCTTGTGCCTTTTCTCGTCCTTTCAATCCCTTCTCTCGGGATCACTCCTCCCCACCCCATGTCCCGATTTTCCTCATTTGAGTTGTTGGAGGTTTCTGAAGATGGAAATACACACTCGCCCATATGCGTGCTCGCTTGAGGACCAGCGTTGAGCCGCCGTCTGTCTGGTCTACAGCACGCCCCATCGGGTTTCGAGAGTCTTGCAGAACCGGTGTTCTGAAAGAGGAGGGATCGTGAAAGCGAGCACCACGACTCTCCATCCAGACGTGCTCCCCTATTTCTATATGAAACGTGAACCGTACCTAAAGCCCGACGCCCAGATGGCGGCAGCGAGAAGTGGAGAAGAATAGAAGACCTGAAGGAGAAAGCAACGGTGCGATATGAAGGGGCGATGATATGCCCAGTTGGCACGTCTGGGGCGTGTTTCGCAACGTGTGGTGACATATAAAAAGAGTGCTTTTTCATTCTATCCACCACTTGGAAGCAAGTGCGTGCCATCTGAGCGCGGCTGACGTGCTGCTGAGCAACAAACAGCCCTATGGACCGTTGACCCTGACGAGTGGCAGGGTGCTCAGGCC